AGTTATCCATGAAAAAACATTGAAATAAAATTAAACTAATAGATACATGGTACTATTACTTGCTTAGATTTTGTTTAAAAAATCGCTAATATGAATTATTAAAAATTTACTCTAAAAAACTGACACAGTAGGCCTTGCATTTTGTACTAATATGGCGTATTTTGCTCCAAAAATACAGTTTACCAAGATCTACACTTTAAGACAAATCCGGTTAAAATCGCACAATAAATAAAGATTTTACAGGGGTGAGTTGCAAACAAATGGGGCACACTGTATATATATATATTGATTTTAAAGAACAAAAAACGATTTAAATTTTCTAAAGGTTAAAATCAAAGGCGATTTTATAAATAAAAGTAGACTAAACAAGTTTAAAGAAATTTAGTTAAAAAAACTTAAAAATTAGCGAATAAATAGGTCCCTACTTTTATTTTAGTCAAAAAATTTAAAAATAATAAATTGGTACTTGCCAAATTTATTGATAAGTTTTGGTTAAATCCCATTATCCTTATATATGGTTGTCTTATTTCTTAATATCCATTGGCTTAATAGCTATGGCTTTAACATGTTGGTCCTAGAAAAAAAAATACAATTAGACCATTTAAGGACTGCAAATTTTATGTTCTTTATTTTTTTAAATATCAAAAATATTCGTAGTATTATTTGACCTAATAGATGCGTTAGAATTTTAATAATACCTAGCAATTTGTTGATGTAGATAAAAGTAATAAATGAGCATGTTCATCCCATCGAAGCCAAATTATAACTGAACGCTTGATTACGTTGAAGGGATTATAATTATTAACAAAAACAACCAAAAAAGAGGGTGAGTCAGACCTGCGCGATAAACATATTACGTTAAGCGTGACGAATTTCTTAATTATATATTTGTTATTTATTATTTTATTAATAATCAAATAATGTAATTTTGATTATAGTTTCCAAAAATTACGCACCATTTTGAGTAATTAGGAGCGCGTTCGAAAACTCGCAAGAGTGCACTCTGGATACACTCCAAGTTTACCTTGCGCGTTCGAATTCTCTGGTATATACCTAGATATATGCAACTGTCAGCTGTTCGAAAACAGCAAGTATATGCCCAGAGTGCACTCTCGGTTGTCCAAGCTTTAGACTTGGTTAAGTTTTACCCGTCATGCGCATAGGGTACATCAAACAATAATTTGTATTTACCTTCATATAATTTATTTATAACTGTTTAAAATTCAATAAAACAAAAACGAAAAACATTAACATAAAAGAATTTATTATAATAAATTATTTAAAAAATATAAATTCTAAAAAACAAAAGAAAATCTATCACAAAAACTTGAATAATCCATATAACTAAAGGGTTGAAATTCAATAATTAAATATTTATATGTATTCAGTCAAATAAAAGGCAAAACCAATTGATTTTAGAACACTACAACATAAAGTTTATAGTTATATGCTCCGCGGCGTTCGAAAATAACAAGGAGGTTACGTATAATGTAAAGTCACGTGATTATATACCTATACTTATACCATATCCAAAGTACACTCTTATTTCGAACGCACTCTAGGGTTTAAAAATTGTGTTATTTTCTAAAGACTTTTTGAAAATAAAATCTTAAATAAGAAACTGTTTTATCCTTATCGGTTGATATTTTTGTTGAAAATATTTAACACAAAAATTATAGATATTAAACTAAAAAATACAAAAATCTAAAGAAAATTTTGACCTACGACCCCTTACAAAAAAATATTTAAATTTTCAAAAAGTTAAAATAAAAGGCGATTTTATAAATAAAAGTGGACTAAACAAGTTTGAAGAAATTTACGAAAACCGTAGTGCTGTTTATAGATTCCCGTACGGAAATCTATCTATTTCGTATTGTTCATCTTTTACGGGATGGCAACATTGCACAGCAGTGTCGCCAATAAGAGAATATTTATATTCTACGCTATTTTGAGTAGTTTAACAACTTTTATATATAGCCTGTATAATAAAGGTATGTATCTTTGAAATTGGAGTTATTGTCACAACAAACGTTTTTTGAAAATAGATAATATATATTATATAATATAATAAAAAAGCTGTCTTTATTAAAATTATAACTTCTATTAAATTGAGAAAATACTATAATGTGCATCTCAAGTTGGCAACCCTGGCGGCACGTCAATGTATGACGAATTTCATCCATTACGTCACTAGCGTGCCCGTAAAAACTAAATTGCAGGCACTCTAACGTGCACGTAGTCACTGCGTTATTATAATGATATTTAAAATCGGGGAAAAGTGAGGTTATAATAAATAAATAATAAAAGTCGCCCCTCGTATACAGGAGGAGTCATTTAACTTGAAACTTTGAAATATCTAAGTTAGTATGCATTTTACGAAAAAATGTTTGAAATAAAAATTAAATGATTGAAATAAAAATTAAATGATTAAATATACATTTTTTATCGTCGTTTTATGAATTTATAACATTAATAACATCCGTAGATAATTCTCGAGAGATTTATTTAATGGGTACTTAAAAATATCGAAAAATAAGACATCGAAAATCAAAATTTGGCGTAAAATGCCCCATATAAAAAATCACCTTATCAACCCTACCCCTAATTATTTTCTCTGATGTAATGTCTTTTGTTACCAATTTTTTTAATGTGTCTCTCATTACTCATTTTTTATTTTTAATGAGTAATTAATGTATTGTTCAGCATTACTCAGGGTCATTCCACGTTACTCGGTAATTTTTGTCCCGCCCGTCACAATTAAAATTGTGAGTAAAAACTACACGTTATAAAATTTATTTTAAAATATTGTTTATTAAGCACAATAAAAATAATATTATAAAATATAAATTTAATAACTTGTGGCTTTTACTCACAATTTTTAATTGTGACGGGCGGGATAAAAATTACCGAGTAACGTGGAATGCCCCCTCATTAATTTTTAATGTGTAATGAAAATATTTCTCATTAATTTTTTTTTAATAATGTACAAAAACTACAAAAAAAAAATGTCGATTACATTATTTTTTACATTAACATTTTTTGCAACTCTAATCCTAAATATCCTAGCAATTTAAAGAATTCCCTAAGGCCATGTATTGGGATTGGCTATCGTTTTTTATTCTTATCTCGCTTATCCTTTGCGTTAGATATCACTGTGCGACAATTTTCGGGTCATCGAAATCAAACCGCACCGGACCATTTTTTTCTGAAAATATACCTATCCAATAGCAAAACCCTCCCTGGGTTTGTAAAAGTTAGCTCGAATTTTTTTTATGGCCGTTTGTATTTTCGAGCTTCATATACCCCAATTTAGACCTATAAATCGATTTTTCACATATATTCGATTTATATCGTCAAGATTTTTTGTAGAAATGTAGTTACTGCACTAATAAACCCATTTTGTGAACAACCTATATCCCAAAAACCCAATTTTTGGGACCAAATTATTTTTTTAAAATTTTTTGATAATATGTAAAAATGTTGTAAAGTATACTAAAAGAAGTAATTTATAAAATACGCACACAAAACTGAACAAGATTTTCCAAAATATTCATCTTTTCACACTCAACACCAAATATTTTGCCGAAAAATCTGTAGGAAAAAATTGAATAGATAAAATAGAATTGTAGAAATTTTCTACTAGAAAAGTACAGAGAATTTGATTTTTTATTTTGTATTAATTTTATTATTAAAAACAAACATTGAGTAATCTGATTCATTGCTGAAGAATTCCATCCCTTCCACTTCTTCTCCTTTATTTCCTTGCTCTTCATTTTCATTTTTTGATTCATCACTGGAGAATTTCATCCCTTCCACTTCTCCTTTATTTTTTTGTTCTTCATTTTCATGTTCTTTCTAATATATGTTTACTTCACAAAAATGTTTCGGCTAGTATGGCATCTGGAGCTCGTTTTCCTCTTTATCTGGACTCAAATGGCATCGCAGTTTTGATGATTGTGTCGATAACTGTCGACTGAAGTAGTCCAAATGGCGATGAGGGAAATGAATTTTTAGCGACATATTGACTCCAATTTTGAAAAAAAACACCCAACATTCGTCGCACAGATCCTTCATAATTTGGAGAACGATGTTTGCCTAAAAGTCCAACGATGATTTCTCTTATCGACGCCCACGCAACTATCTCATTGTCAACCAAGGCCCCGTCAAATGAAATGAATATAAAAAATATATGAAATGAAGGGATGGAATTCTCCAGTGATGAATCAAAAAATGAAAATGAGAACAAGAAAATAAAGGAGAAGTGGAAGGGATGGAATTCTCCAGCAATGAATCAGATTACTCAATGTTTTGATATAAAAAAGTTTTTTAATAATAAAATTAATAAAAAATAAAAAATCAAACTATTTTATATATTCAATTTTTTTCTACAGATTTTCCAAAGATTTCGGCAAAAAGGTTGGTGTTGAGTATGAAAAGATGAATATTTTGGAAAATCTTGTTTAAAAATTGTTTTCCAGCAAATAAGTAAACTTAAAGTTCAGTTTTGTGTGCGTATTTTATAAATTACTTCTTTTTGTATACTTTACAACATTTTTGCGAGAAGAAGTAGCAAGAAATTTTAAATATTATTAAAAAAATTAAAAAAAAAATAATTTTTCGAATATTTGGTTCCAAAAATTGGGTTTTGGGTTGTTCACAAAATGGGTTTATTTGTTCAGTAACTTACATTTCTACAAAAAATCTTGACGATGTAAATCGAATATATGCGAAAAAATCGATTAATAAGTCTAAATTGTGGTATATGAAGCTAGAAAATACAAACGGCCATAAAAAAATAAATCGAGCAAACTTTTACAAACCCAGCGATGGTTTTGCTATTGGATAGGTATATTTTCAGAAAAAAATAGTCCGGTGCGGTTTGATTTTTGGTGTTGCACAGTGTAATTTTAATTTTCAAGTATGTGTTACATTTTTTTAACGCGGTTTAAACACTTTTATAAAACAAGCTAGAACAACTTTATAACAATTTTTCCTTTCAGTACTGCACCATAAAGCTTGTAAACGGGGCTCGAAGTTTTCAAGTGCCAACGCTGGACGAAGTGACGCGTCACAAAATAGTGGTCGTAACCCTGCAGACGTCGATTTACTTGTCCGCCATGGGCGTGCAGCAGGGCCACTTCACCCACATCCTGGTCGACGAAGCGGCGCAAGCGGCCGAATGCGAGACCATCATGCCGCTGGCGCTGGCCAACGACCACAGCCGCATCGTCTTAGCCGGCGACCACATGCAGCTGGGCCCCGACATTTACTCCACCTTCGCGAAGAACCGCATGTTCCACTTGTCCCTGCTCGAGCGGCTCTACGAACACTATCCCAACGGGTTCCCTTGCAAGATACTGCTGTGCGAGAACTACAGGGCGCACGAGGACATAATACAGTTCGCCTCCGAGTCCTTCTACGATCAAAAGTTGGTTTCGAGCAGTAAGCAGCCGAAACACGCCGCGTATTATCCGTTGACGTTCTTCACGACGCGCGGCGAGGACGTGCAAGACAATAATTCCACCGCCTACTACAACGTTTCGGAGGTGTACGAGGTGGTGGAGAGGATCGCGGAGCTGGTGCGCACCTGGCCCACCGACTGGGGCGATTTTTCGGACCAATCCATAGGCGTCGTCACGCCGTACGGCGATCAGGTGTACAGGATCAGGTCGGAGCTGCGCAAGCGCAGAATCGACAACATCTGCGTCGAGAGGGTCACGAACGTGCAGGGTAAGCAGTTCAGAGCCATAATATTGTCGACGGTTAGGACGCGACTGACGTGCAGAAACGACTCCATAGATTGGGAGTACGGGTTTTTGTCGAACACGAAGTTATTGAATACCGCCGTAACGAGAGCGCAGAGCTTGGTGGCGGTCGTAGGCGACCCCATAGCGCTGTGTTCCGTGGGTAGATGCAGCAAAATTTGGGAGAAATTCATACACACTTGCAATCTCAATAACAGTTTATTCGGGATTACATGGAAGACCTTAAAATTCCAACTAGACGGCATAGAGTTAAAAAAGATATATTCCTTAAATCCTTTAGCGCCGGAATTTTATCCGAAATCGTACAACGGCCCCAAAACGGACCCTAGTAAAGTATTACTTCAAAGTATTCCCAAGATCATACCAACAGGCCCGGCCGCGTTCCCGTTCGGATTCATTCCGCCCATGCTAATTCCCCCGAATATCCCGAGATTTCCAATGTTCTACAATCTACGCCCCCCCACACCGTGCAATCAAATTTTACCCGCCCCCATGACAAGCGCATTCAATCCCGGTTTAAGAATACTACCGAACGAAATCCGACCAATATTACCGCAAATCCCCATGTTGCCGAAGCCACCGCAAACATTCCCGGTACCGCAGACCTCGCCGCCTTTTTACATGAACAACAACCCTCCCCCCATACTACCGCAACCCCCGCCGCAGTTCCACTCGAACAACAAACTCATACAATTCATGAGCAACGTGCATTTTCCCGAGGTTCCGGTCGGACTGAACGATTGCATCAACCTGCTCCCGCAAAGCATGTCTTTGGCGGACATGCTGCTGCAACCGCCCCACCTCCAAGAACAGTGGTACCAATACCTGCGCGAAACGTCTGGCATCGAAGCCGCGGAAAAGTTCAAATACCTTCTCCACACCACCAATCAAAAGGGGTCCAGGATCCCGGACAACAACATTTTCGGCCGGTCCACCCCGCAAAACTGCGAGTCGCCCACTTTCAGCTGGTACGACAGTCCCAACAACCAACTCAACTTCAACAAACCCGTTTACATGAGAGATAATGTGCCGCCTGCCGAGGCGCATCATTCTGTACTCCCCCTGCCCGCCCCTCAGCAACTTCAGTCGCAATCTCACCAACCGCCGCCGCCTCATGTTAACGGTAATAGTAAAAGTGTTGCCCACAACGGGGCGCTGCCGGAAGGTTCTTCATTCATGTTTCATGTTCGACGCCAGGAAGGCGACATTCAACGTTTGATCAACGAGGAGTTCGCCAATTTAAGAATAGATAACGATGTTTCGTCTGATGTTGCGTATAATAATCCGTTTACGTGTAGCCAGCAAGATTCCACTTCTCATCCCAGATTCTGGAAGTATTTTAACTAAATATTTATCAGCATTGCCAACTTTTTTCTCGAGATATCCCTAGGGTTATGAGAATTTGTCCCTAGATTTTTTACAAAGAACTGTTTTGATTAACGAACTTCTTAAAGTAAGTTTTAGTTAGACAAGGTTTACCAAGCAAAACTCGCGTAAAATATTAAACACGTAACGAAATAACTATAATACATAACATTCTATGAAACAAATATTTGATGATGCTGACAAAAGTAGAAAACTATTTTAAAAACAATATTTAAGGGTGAAAACCAAATTACAATTATTGCCATTGGATTTTATGTAGAATTAAAAATATATTTCTTGAAAATTACGTCGCTAAGGTGGTGTCCATTCAGACGCAAATATTTTCAGTCGGGACGTTAATAAACAAAATTTTCGGTATTCGGCAGAAGCCCTTCATTAAAAACCATTCCACTCTCAAAAAGTAACAGTGTGGTACGTAATGTCATCATCTGGGTTAATAGGGCCGTACTTTTTAGAAACAAACGCTGGCAATGCCGTAACTGTTAATGCGGTGCGTTACATGGAAATTTAGCAGAACATTCATACCCCATAACTTGCTGATTTCCCTGTTAATAAAAAAAAACATTATTTCAACAAGATAGGGCAAGAAGCCATTCAGCAAAACTATATATGAACATTGTGAAAGACTTGTTTCCAAACCGCGTTTGTTCCTGAAATGGCGATATCCTATGGCCACCTCGGACAATCGAGGAACTAAAAGAATGGGAATGGGGTTTGAACATGCAATATTACAAAACCAACTAGCACAAATCCCCATGTTGCCAAAGCCACCACAAACATTCCCAGTATCGCAGACATCGCCGCCTTTTTACATGAACAACAACCCTCCCCCCATACTACCGCAGCCCCCGCCGCAGTTCCACTCGAACAACAAACTCATACAGTTCATGAGCAACGTGCATTTTCCCGAGGTTCCGGTCGGACTGAACGATTGCATCAACCTGCTCCCGCAAAGCATGTCTTTGGCGGACATGCTGCTGCAACCGCCCCACCTCCAAGAACAGTGGTACCAATACCTGCGCGAAACGTCTGGCATCGAAGCCGCGGAAAAGTTCAAATACCTTCTCCACACCACCAACCAAAAGGGGTCCAGGATCCCGGACAACAACATTTTCGGCAGGTCAACCCCGCAAAATTGCGAGTCGCCCACTTTTAGCTGGTACGACAGTCCCAACAACCAACTCAACTTCAACAAACCCGTTTACATGAGAGATAACGTGCCGCCTGCCGAGGCGCATCATTCTGTACTTCCCCCGCCCGCCCCGCAGCAACTTCAGTCGCAATCTCATCAACCGCCGCCACCTCATGTTAACGGTAATAGTAACAATGTCGCCCACAACGGGGCGATGCCGGAAGGTTCTTCATTCATGTTTCACGTTCGACGCCAGGAAGGCGACATTCAACGTTTGATTAACGAGGAGTTCGCCAATTTAAGAATAGATAACGATGTTTCGTCTGATGTTGCGTATAATAATCCGTTTACGTGTAGCCAGCAAGATTCCACTTCTCATCCCAGATTCTGGAAGTATTTTAACTAAATATTTATCAGCATTGCCAACTTTTTTTCTCAAGATATCCCTAGGGTTATGAGAATTTGTCCCTAGTTTTACAGATTTTTTCCTAAGAATTTTTTTGATTAACGATTTTTTTTTATTTAGACAAGGTTAACCAAACAAAACTTGCGTAAAAATATTAAACACATAACGAAATAACTCCATAATACATAACATTCAATGAAACAGAAATATTTGAAGATGCTGAAAAAAGTATAAAACTATTTTAAAAACAATATTTAAGGGTGAAATCCAAATTACAATTATTGCCATTGGATTTTATGTGAAATTAAAAATATATTTCTTGAAAATTATGTCGCTAAGGTGGTGTCCATTCAGACGCAAATATTTTCAGTCGGGACGTTAATAAACAAAATTTTCGCCATTGGGCAGAAGCCCTTCATTAAAAACCATTCCACTCTCAAAAAGTAACAGTGTGGTACGTAATGTCATCATCTGGAGTAATAGGGCCGTACTTTTTAGAAACAAACGCTGGAAATGCAGTAACTGTTAATGCGGTGCGTTACATTTCAATTTAGCAGAACGTTCCTACCCCATAACTTGCTGATTTACCTGTTAATAAAAAAACATTATTTAAACAAGATAGGGCTAGAAGCCATTCTGAAAAACTCTCTATGAAAGACTTTTTTCCAAACCACGTTTGTTCCTGAAATGGCGATATCCTATGGCCACCTCGGACAATCAAGGAACTAAAAGAATGGGAATGGAACATGCAATATTACAAAACCAACTAGCACAAATCCCCATGTTGCCAAAGCCACCACAAACATTCCCAGTATCGCAGACATCACCGCCTTTTTATATGAACAACAACCCTCCCCCCATACTACCGCAACCCCCGCCGCAGTTCCACTCGAACAACAAACTCATACAATTCATGAGCAACGTGCATTTTCCCGAGTTTCCGGTCGGACTGAACGATTGCATCAACCTGCTCCCGCAAAGCATGTCTTTGGCGGACATGCTGCTGCAACCGCCCCACCTCCAAGAACAGTGGTACCAATACCTGCGCGAAACGTCTGGCATCGAAGCCGCGGAAAAGTTCAAATACCTTCTCCACACCACCAACCAAAAGGGGTCCAGGATCCCGGACAACAACATTTTCGGCAGGTCAACCCCGCAAAACTGCGAGTCGCCCACTTTCAGCTGGTACGATAGTCCCAACAACCAACTCAACTTCAACAAACCCGTTTATATGAGGGATAACGTGCCGCCTGCCGAGGCGCATCATTCTGTACTCCCCCTGCCCGCCCCTCAGCAACTTCAGTCGCAATCTCACCAACCGCCGCCACCTCATGTTAACGGTAATAGTAACAATGTCGCCCACAACGGGGCGATGCCGGAAGGTTCTTCATTCATGTTTCACGTTCGACGCCAGGAAGGCGACATTCAACGTTTGATTAACGAGGAGTTCGCCAATTTAAGAATAGATAACGATGTTTCGTCTGATGTTGCGTATAATAATCCGTTTACGTGTAGCCAGCAAGATTCCAGTTCTCATCCCAGATTCTGGAAGTATTTTAACTAAATATTTATCAGCATTGCCAACTTTTTTTCTCGAGATATCCCTAGGGTTATGAGAATTTGTCCCTAGTTTTACAGATTTTTTACAATGATTTTTTTTGATTAACGATTTTTTTTATTTAGACAATATTTAACACATAACGAAATAACTCCATAATACATAACATTCAATGAAACAGAAATATTTGAAGATGCTGAAAAAAGTAGAAAACTATTTTAAAAACAATATTTAAGGGTGAAATCCAAATTACAATTATTGCCATTGGATTTTATGTAGAATTAAAAATATATTTCTTGAAAATTACGTCGCTAAGGTGGTGTCCATTCAGACGCAAATATTTTCAGTTGGGACGTTAATAAACAAAATTTTCGGTATTCGGCAGAAGCCCTTCATTAAAAACCATTCCACTCTCAAAAAGTAACAGTGTGGTACGTAATGTCATCATCTGGAGTAATAGGGCCGTACTTTTTAGAAACAAACGCTGGCAATGCAGTAACTGTTAATGCGGTGCGTTACATTTAAATTTAGCAGAACTTTCCTACCCCATAACTTGCTGATTTCCCTGTTAATAAAAAAACATTATTTCAACAAGATAGGGCTAGAAGCCATTCTGCAAAACTCTATGAAAGACTTTTTTCCAAACCACGTTTGTTCCTGAAATGGCGATATCCTATTGCCACCTCGGACAATCGAGGAACTAAAAGAATGGGAATGGGGTTTGAACATGCAATATTACAAAACCAACTAGCACAAATCCCCATGTTGCCAAAGCCACCACAAATATTCCCAGTACCGCAGACATCACCGCCTTTTTATATAAACAACAACCCTCCCCCTATACTACCGCAACCCCCGCCGCAGTTCTACTCGAACAACAAACTCATACAATTCATGAGCAACGTGCATTTTCCCGAGGTTCCGGTCGGACTGAACGATTGCATCAACCTGCTCCCCCAAAGCATGTCTTTGGCGGACATGCTGCTGAAACCGCCCCACCTCCAAGAGCAATGGTACCAATACCTGCGCGAAACGTCTGGCATCGAAGCCGCGGAAAAGTTCAAGTACCTTCTCCACACCACCAATCAAAACGGGTCCAGGATCCCGGACAACAACATTTTCGGCAGGTCAACCCCGCAAAATTGCGAGTCGCCCACTTTCAGCTGGTACGACAGTCCCAACAACCAACTCAACTTCAACAAACCCGTTTATATGAGAGATAACGTGCCGCCTGCCGAGGCGCATCATTCTGTACTCCCCCTGCCCGCCCCTCAGCAACTTCAGTCGCAATCTCACCAACCGCCGCCACCTCATGTTAACGGTAATAGTAACAGTGTTGCCCACAACGGGGCGATGCCGGAAGGTTCTTTATTCATGTTTCACGTTCGACGCCAGGAAGGCGACATTCAACGTTTGATCAACGAGGAGTTCGCCAATTTAAGAATAGATAACGATGTTTCGTCTGATGTTGCGTATAATAATCCGTTTACGTGTAGCCAGCAAGATTCCAGTTCTCATCCCAGATTCTGGAAGTATTTTAACTAAATATTTATCAGCATTGCCAACTTTTTTTCTCGAGATATCCCTAGGGTTATGTGAATTTTTCCCTACTTTTACAGATTTTTTCCTAAGAATTTTTTTGATTAACGATTTTTTTTTATTTAGACAAGGTTAACTAAGCAAAACTCGCGATTGCCTTGGAACTTTATAATTTTTCGTAAAAATAATAAACACTTAACGAAATATGTCAAACTCCATAATACATAACATTCAATGAAACAGAAATATTTGAAGATGCTAAAAAAGTAGAAAACTATTCTATTTCATTCAGATGCAAATATTTTCATTTAGGACGTTCATAAACAAACTTTTCGGTATTGGGCAGAAGAAACTCTTCATGTCATCATCTGAGGTAATAAGGCTGACATTTTTAGCAACAGACGCTGGCGGTGCGTTGCTTAAAAATGTTTGCAGAACTTGCTCACCCCACAACTTAATAAAATCACATTATTTCAACAAGCCATACAAAAAAATCTCTATGAACATTATGAAATACTTGTTTCCAAACCACTTTTGTTCCAGAAATGGTGATATCCTATGGCCACCTCGGACAATCGAGGAACTAAAAGAGGGAATGGGGTTGGAACATGCAATTTTTTATTGCATATTTGGAATTACATTTACGAGTTATTAAAAAAATCCTACGGTTCTCAAACAATTCTGATTAAAAACGCTTCGTTGACCTTGAAGAGAGATCGTGACGTCACGATGTTATAACAGATATGTCAAGAGTTACGAATGTATCCAGCCTAGAGATGTAAAAAAAACGGTTTTTTTTCATATGTGAAAAAAACCTAGAAAAAAAACGGTTTTATTTGTTTTTTTTCAAAATGAAATTTTGAGTAAAATATATACATAATATAATAAATAATATAATAAAGTGAAATGTAGAATATATTAAATTTTTCACTATTGAAAATTTCGACCGAGACTAAAAAATCTGATTTCTTATTCTTTGGTAGTTTCCACATTGGAAACCAGTAGCAATGTAAAACTTCTACACCAATACAAAAGGATAAAAAAAAATGTTTTGCGATTCTTCGGATAGATGTTTCTTTGTTAATAATGGTCGTATTGGAGCCGTAAAAAAAGCAATTTGAAGCTTGAAGTTTCTAGTTTTGAGATTTTTAGATGAAAAATGTGTAACGCTCAATCCTAACAAATACCGTAATAAAAAAAATCGATTTTTTTTTGACTTTCTGGTCCAAGGAATTTGGTATTGTTTTTTTGAAAAAAAAATTCCATACTCTACATGAATTTGAAAAATCATGAAAAAAGTGCTTTTGGAAGCTTTTTGAAAAATCAAGCGCTGAATCAAAAATATTATATGTAGTTACTTTTTTTGGACCAAAATGAAAACAAGCGCGGCCCTTATTGGTCAATTCGGTGGTGGTGGCGCGTGCATAGCGCGAGACTGTATTAACTGTCATTTAGTGGCTAATTTTAGTCCATGAAACCTAAAAAATTAGGCAAATGGGACTAATCTTGAAAAAAAACCTAAAATGTGAAAAAAACCATTTGAAAAAAAACAATGGAAAAAAAAACAAAAAAAACGGATTATCAAGATTTTTAATTTCATCTTAAAGCAAATTAACTTAATTTTGATTATTACCATTAAAATTGTTTTTTGAAAGTTTTCTACTTTTTTGAGCTCCTTCAAATATTCCCATTTTATTGACTCACCCTGTACAATAGTTATTTATATTATTATGCAATCGGAGGGGAAAATTGTTTTTTTGAAAGTTTTCTACTTTTTTAAGCACCTTCAAATATTCCCATTATTGACACCCTGTACAATAGTTATTTTTATTATTACGCAATCGGTGGGACTCTTTGTGTTGAACTCAAAGTTTGAAAATAGCACAAAAAGACCTTCTGGGCTAAATCATTATAATGTTTTTCGGAATTGTATTACCTACATAGAGCTTTATGTAAACACATAGTTTCCCTAAATAAGAGGGCGCTGGTGTTCTGTTTGTACCGAAACAGCAGACGTCAGTACAAAATGGAAATTAGCGCCGCTAGTGGTGAAAAAAAAGAACCCATAATTTGAAGATGCATTTCCTGTAATCCCATCTTGATTTTTTCCCTGAAAACTTGGGCGATACGTGAGGGGCTATACCAAGATCTAGCGAACATCGAAAGACGATACCAACTTGGTTTTAGGATGAAGCATGACCAAGTACTGTTGCACTTTTATGAGTAAAAAATTATTGTATTGATACGAAAACCAGAACAAATCTTGAAAAAATAAGTAAATATTTGGATTCAGCGCCCCAAATAACCTTAAAAACAACTTTTGGTTGCGCAGGTCCACAACCATTAATCTGAACACAGAGTAGTATCTGTGTTTAGAGGTAATGCCTTTAGCTTACTTAAAAGCTATTTGGCCAGCTCATTATGTTTAAAATTTAAATATGATAAAGGGTCTCAATTAAGAGAATCTGAGTTTAACTTAATGTTTAATTTATATATTTATACTTATTCTTCTTTAATTTTTTAAATAATTTGTGTCTTCTTTTTTTCTTTCACTCATACATTTTTTATATATTTTATATATTTTTTAATGTTTTATATTCTTTTTTTTCAATATTTTTACTTTAAATATTTGATCTTGACCCATTCATTCATAGAATCTTTCCATACACATTATATCTACTTCTCTCTACTTTTTACAAACATCCATACAATTGTTTTCATTAATAATTCTGTTTTTTTAATATACCAGGAATTAAATCTTTGGTTTATTTTATCCATATTACATTTTTTTGCATAATACCAGCTTATTTTTCTGCTGGGATTTTAATTTTGTTCCTCCAGGGCCACAGGGTCACTTATAATTCAAACTGTCTCATAGAGCAGTGCACGGCTCTAAGAACAAAATCCAAATAACCCTGTATACGTGTGTTATTAAAATTAGAATGTGGGTTCAGAACTGTAGAACGGTAGAAGTCGAATTTTATGATTGGTCCAAATCACAGTGCCCAATGAAATCGGCCAATCACTTTCGCCAACAACTAATTATTTGCCCATAATGATTTATTAGGTGCCATAAGCAAGTGTTGACGAGAATAAAGTTTATTTATGACAAATAAAACACATAAAATAAATCAAATTCATAAACGATTTTAGTAAATATTATAAGCGTTATATTTATAAATGTTAACTTCCTATTTGATTTGATAAAAATTATAAAGAAATCCTACCTGAAGGTTGGCAACGCTGATCTTTATATTCCTTTGTACATTTGTATATATTGTATATTTTAAGTTTATTTCATTTACATTTGTTATGTATTCTTCATGATCTTCATCGTTTTTATATTAATTTGTTAATGATTTTTACACTTTTGTTATTATCTTTGTATAAATGTAAATACTGTACATTTTAAGTGTTATAATTGTTGTTTAGTGTTTAGACTTTCTTGAACTGTACTGTAGCTGTTTATATATTATTATCTAATATATGTGATACGAACAAATTTTGGCGTTTTATTAACTTTATTGGGTGAATAGGGTAAAAAAACACTAATATGAAATTGTCATGTGTCATTTATTTATCTATTGGTAATATAAATAAACATAATATTAATTGTATGTTATTATGTACAGATAACATATACAGGGTGTTTATTTAAAAACTAGCAATGCTTTAAAAGTCTGGATCTAAAAAATATATCAAAAAGCTGTACCCACCCCAACTTTAAACTTTAACACCCTTTTTGTGATACCTCATCGGACAGATCTTAAAAATTGTGATTTAACAGGTTCTAAAAAAAAATAATTTTTTAATAGTTTAATTTTTTAAAAATACGCAAAATAATTTGTATAATTATTTATTCCAATTTCTCGTTATAAATATCAAATAAAACCATAAAATACCAAATTTAACCAATAAAAAATTTATTTTGCGTATTAAACCATTAAAAAGTTTTCATTTTTTACACACATAGCCTAGAAACGGGTTTAAGAATTTTCTAAAATCTTTTTTAGGTCTAAACTTAAAGAGCATTGTTAGTTTTTAAATAGACACCCTGTATGTATGTGTGACACATGCTAATATAAAGAAAGAATCGAATTATGATATGTATTTAATATAATCAAACACCGATATAAAATTTCCACATGAAAAGACCAATACTTATGTAATATTAACAGTGAAAATACACAAGAAAATTTTTATCATATTCATACATAATGATTTTTTTATAAATATTTAATTATTTATCAATAAAATGCGGATTAATAATTTAAGAATGGCGGGCGGGCCAAGCAATTCCAATTTGGCAGTATGTTAACAATTGTTTACTGAAAATTTACAATCAGTCTTATCTTACACAAATTCAATAAACAAGTAGGTAACAGGTTCTCCTAAAGCTAAAGAAACGTTTAAAAAGCATATTGTCCATTACCGTTTGGTCTGTACTGAATAAATCTGGTTCCAGCTGAATATCAACCCTGCTTCTCCCGATTTCTTTTACTATTTACAATGACAAAAACCCTGCTGTAATTTTTCGACACCATTCGAAATTCCTTATTAATCCGCCGTTAACGTAATGTATGCATAAGTAATGAAAAATGTGAAACTATTAGTTATTTTTTTGCTTGATAAGCTTATTTTTTTGTGCACACATCGAAAAATTTATCTGACCATCTCTTTTATTCCAAAACTAATCGCTAAGAAAACTATGCCCCTATTAAAAGCATAAATTAAAGCACTTGATTGTCCTGTGCCTTAAACAAAATTAAATTTTGTCTGATTTGCATGTGCAGAATACTTTTCGAGAACATGCGAATCAATACAATGTAATTTCATATTCTGGAATTAATTTAGTATTAGGTATACATTATTGGTTAATTTTTAACAAGAATTCGCGTTTATAGAAAATACCTTATAATACTTATTTATACTTATATCTAAAAATAATCATGCCTGTATACGTTCCTTGGTACTTGAATCAAACGTTCTCACATATTTACACATAGTAATTATATTTACAAGAATAAATGGTACAGGAATTACGAAAAATAAAAAAATAAATTAAGATTTGCGGATTCGTAAGCTCTCCCTTATTTCGCGATGGGAGAAGTTATAAATCCTCTGATAGAGTATAAAAATAACTATATATTTACAAATATAAAACACATGGATACGTTAATAAACAGGTCTACCTAATATGAACTAAAAATATAGACAAATCATTGGAATTCAGACAATAATTCTGTTGTCTAAATTCAAATAAGTAAATTGAGCAAATACTGAATTCAATGAGTTCTTATTCGAATTTTAGAATATCTTTGCGAAAACTATGTTAGGCAGTATGTGCACAATCATTACAATTATTACGAGCTACGATAATTTTAATCACAACTTTGACGCAGTTCCGGCAGTTGCAATATATAATTTCAATTCAATAATACTGGGCATTTTAAGAACCACGCAGATATATGTTACACAACATTACTTAATAAGATCTTACAAGCTAAAAATTACCTTGACTAGAATTTCATTTATACAAGCCCTTAACTGTTAAGGTAATTGAGGGGTATATTCATTGTAAGTGAACCGTTTGATCGGTAGACTCGGGGATCTACCAATTTATAAGGTATTGTACACGAAAGGGTAAATCAGGGTTCCAAAATAAACACACTATATAATTAATCATGTATATAACGGGTATATACACGAGGAAGCACATAATTAAGTTAAGAAATAGGTTACATCTAGGGGATCTACAGGAATACTAACAACCAACATTTTAAAAATGGTAAAATGGTTAAAAGTGTGTTACCATTATTCTGCAAGTTTAAATCGTTCTTTAATTTTTTAGAATTCAGAAAATTTTAACAATTTTAGTTATTTTAAAATTTGTAAGTAAAATTTAAAAATTTGGAAATTTTAAAATGGTATATCATTTAAATGTTGTGACCGAAAAAAGGTTTAAAATACAATATTATATTATAATATTATTAACAACAGTAAAAGTGAAGAAAAACGTGTGTTACAAGATATGAAAACTGTTTAAATGTTAAAAGTTTGAAAAGAGTTAAAAATATAATAATACATCAATCTTTAAAACATTTTAAACTGTTATTGATATTTTATATTTTTAAATACTAATACTAATTGCAATCAATTTTGTAGCGTCCGTTATAATCAAAAATTGTGAGTAAAACTACCGTAATTATGATGCTTATAAGCTTAATAAACATGTTTTTAATAGTAACTATTGTAATGGTATTTAATTTAATTTCGGTAGCTTTTACTCACAATTTTTGATTGTAACGGACGCTACAAAAGTTCCCGAGTAGCGTGGAATGGCTGAACAGTTTAAAATGTTTTAAAGATTGATATCTGTAAAATGTTAAAAGGTCTAAAATAATATTAAAAATGTTAATGTTAAAAGCTAAAAAGCAAGTAATATATTAAATATTGTTTCAAACGTTAAAAAACGTTAAAATGTTAAAAAACTAAAACAGTTTTAATATTAAAAATATTTAAAGAACTGTAAATATTTTTAAAGATCAAAAGAAACAAAATGTTCAAAATAATTTGGGATTTTTATTTACCAAAAGTTAAATACTAAACAAATCAAATGTTAAAATTTCCAACACCGCTAAATGTTTTAATCCCTATTAATTTTTCAGAATTTGGAAAATTTTTAGTTTGATGTTGGAAATTTTAAATTTTTTAAAATTATGTAAATACCATTTTATCATTTTAAGAGCTTTGGAAATTTTAAAAATATTTGAATGTTAAAAGATCGAAAAAGTAAAAAGTCCTAAAATATTGACAATTGTAAAATTGAAGAAAAACGTTAGTGTTAAAAGATATGAAAACAGTTAAAATGTTAAAAGATTAAAAACGGGTAAAAATAATTTTTAAAAAATATTTAAAAAGAGTTAAAAATTTTAAAGATCAAAATCAGTTAAAATATTAAAATAAAAACGAAAAAGATTAAAAAGTTTAAAAATTAAAATATCAAAAACAATTTAAAATTTTAAGATTCCTCCTATCTGTTAAATGTAAAAAAGATCGCAAATAACAGTTAAAATTTAAATGTTAAAGTTGGAAAACAAAGATCGAAATTATTTAAAAAATTAAAAGATTACAAAAATATTACGATTTCGAAGCAATTTAAAAATTAAAATTTTAAAAACAGTTAAAGAATCGAAAACAATTTACAATTTAAAAAGCTTAATATATTTAAAATGTTAAAAGATTGAAAATATTAGGTTTGAAAACAGTAAAAAATTTTAAAGATCGAATTTTAAGTTTTAAGAGATTTAAAACGGAAAAGAGTTAAGAGATCTAAAATAATTCAAAATATAACAATTTCAAAAATTGAAATCTTTAAAATGTTAAAATATAAAAGATATTAAAATTTTAAATGTTAAAATATAAAATACAGTTTCAAATGTTAAAATACGTTGGAATGTTAAAAAAATCTAAAACAGTTTAAATACCTATTCAAATATTAAAAATGTTAACATTTTGAACGTTAAAATGAATTTTTGATTTTTGTCAGCTTATAGGTAAATGTGTAAACCATTATTCGTTATAATTTGAATCCATTATTTTTTTAGAATTCAGAAAATTATTAAAATGTAAATTTTGGATCTTTAAATTTTGGAAATTTGATAATTTTGAAAATTGTAAAAATGGTGAATGCGCCGGGATTAAATTAAAAGTGTTGGTTGTTGATATTCTGTAAATTACATATTTTTAGACATTTGATAGAAAGATATGATTTAATTTGCGCAATAAGTTTGCGCGATATCACAATTGGGTTTACATCGAGTTGGGAAATTAAATAATGGGTACTTTATCCGTCAAGTACGTAATGGTAAAAAATGTGATTATTCCTAACAGTCTCTTAAATCTACCTTGCAATATATTAAACATTAAAATCTTTTAAAATAAACATCGAAATGAGTTAACAGTCTAGACTTGTTGCTGATTCGGTATGGGCATGTAGCCTAGGTTTTTGCGCTGCAGAAACAGGTGAATCTCGGCGAACCGCGGCCGGTCGGACGCGTTCCTCTTCCAGCACTCGCCCATCAAGTCGTAGATTTCTCGCGGGCACACCGGCGGTCTGGGCAGGTAACGCTGGCAGCCGTCGTTTTGGTACCAGTGGTTGCAGTTTTCGACCACCTGTTCGCTGGTGAGTTCTGCGTAAGGCTGCTGCGTGCAGAGCATCAGGATCTCCCAGAGGGTCACGGCGAACGCCCATACGTCGCTTTTCGTGGATTGTCGACCCTATAAAACATAAAAAAAAATGTTAAACGATTCAAAACACTTAAAAATGTTAAATAAATAAAAAACAGTTATAAAAACAAATTATATTATGTATCAAGTTTGATAAACGCCATTTTATACACGAATTTAATTTAGGCACGAGCGAGCTTGCGAGCGAGTTCTTAAATTAATGAGTGTATAGAAAAGTTTATAAACGAGGTGCATTAAGGTGTTTCATTTAAAACGAAAATTTTTTTTTCTTGCTGACATGAAAATTTTCTTTTTTTTATTTTGAAAAAAAAATTCCCTGAAAATTTGAGCCCTTAATTTCCTTTTTAATTTTGTAGTTTTTCCATATAAAAAGCATGTATTTTTAATCATTTTTACTTTAAATTTCTATATTTTGGCCGGGTTTTGAATTTTAATTGTTATCATCATAATTTGTAAAAAGTTGTAGAAAATTTAATTTTTGACAAAAAAGGTTTTCACGTTCATATCACTAAAGTGCTTTGTTTAAGAGATATAAGCAATATATAGTTGTTACATAAATTTCAAACCTATTTTTTCTTTGTTTTTGGTTATTGAAATTTTCATGTGTCAGCAAGAAAAAAAAATTTTTCGTTTTAAATGAAACACCCTAGAGGTGCATACTATACTTTTTCTACGACAAATACTTATTATTATCTTAAAATGATTTAAATCAAAAATTTGTATAGAGCGCCATCTATGAAACAACAGGGGAAACTGTCAAATGTCACATTTTTACATTTTATAAACACAATTATAAAGGTTATAAATCGAAATGTATATTGTAAGTTGACAGTTTTTCACAGTGAAAGTAAAGAAAATGTTTTATGAGCACTTTACAGTGGAGTCCGTGCCCCAATTTAAATTATAGTTTACTGCCGGCAAAATTAAAAGGTCAGTACAAAGTTCATATAAACTTATCAAATATTGGCGTTGAGAAACTATTTAATACTTTTGTATTTTTGTATTGAGATAATAAAATAATTTTCACATTTAGTATTATTTTACAAAAAAGGCAACGATTGTATGACATTTGACAAGTGTCAACTAACTTAAAACTAACTTCAGCCCGTGACTAAAGCGCCGTAAAGCCACAACTTGTCAATGTGTATTTAAAAGGTCACTTAGTGTCATGGAAACATGTACGATAAAAGGCGTTTTAAAGGTGGGAGTAGAAAAAATATATTAAATATTAAAAGATCGAAATATAATTAAAATTATAAAAAAAGTGTTTGCCAAGATCGACAAAAATTACGAAAATATAAAAAAACTATTTTTTTTTTAATGTTTAAAATTGAAAAAAATCTTAAAATATTGAGATTAAAAACATTTAAAAATAATAACAAAAACAGTTAAAAATGTCAAATATTGATAAAGATAAAGAAAAAATGCTATAAGAAAAGTGTTATTGTGTTATTATTAAAAAGAGTTTAAAATGTTAAAACAGTCTAAAGTGATAATTGTAAAAATACTAAAAACAGTTAAAATGTTTAAAAACTGTTAAAATGTTAAAATATCGAAAACAGTTAAAATTATAAAAGATCTGAAACTGTTAAAAATGTTATTAAGATTAAAAAATGTTTAAATTAAGTATTAAAAGATATTAAAACAGTGAAAACGTTAAAACAGACAAAAGTTAAAAATGTTAAAATACCTAAAAAAGATAATGATGAAATATATAAAAATATTAAAAGTTCGAAAATAGGTAAAAATAAAATTGTTATTGTTGTTGAAAAAATAAAATCTTAAAATATTGAGATTGAAAACATTTAAAAATAATAACAAAAACAGTTTAAAATGTCAAATATTAATAAAGATAAAGAAAGAAATGAAATAAGAAAAGTGTTATTGTGTTATTATTAAAATGAGTTTAAAATGTTAAAAGATGTTAAAGATCTAAAATTTGAATTGTAAAAATAATAAAAACAATTAAAATGTAAAAAAGTGTTAAAATATAGAAAACAGTTAAAATTTTAAAAGATCTTAAAATTAAAACAATGTTAGTATTAAAAGATATTAAAACAGTTAAAACGTTAAAAGTTAAAAATGTTAAACGACCTAATAATGTTTAAAATGTTTAAGATAATGATGAAATATAAAAAAATATTAAAAGTTCGAAAATAGGTAAAAAATAAAACAAACATGTTATTGAAAAAAATAAAATTTTAAAAGATCTAAAACAGTTAAAATCATAAAAGATCTAAAACAGTTAAAACGCTAAAAGACAAATGTTAAATGATTTAAAAAGGTTTAAAATGTTTAAGGTGCAGAAGGAAAAATAATAAATATTGAAAATATTGAAAAAATAATAAATATTAAAAAATATTAAAAAAACAAAAACAGTTAAAATGTGAAAATACCGATGATAGATATGAATATTTTATAATAAAAAATTAAGGATCTAAAAAGTTGGTGTAAAAGTGTGCGAATAGTGTTCAAATCGAATAGTATGGAATTTCAAATCGATTATTCGAATAATTTGATTATTTAAATAATTTGAATATTCGATTTGATTCGTCTCAAATAATTCGTAAATTTGAAAATTGGCACACTCCTCGTTAAAAGATATTGAAATTAATTTAAAATATTAAAAGATCAATACAAGTTTAAAAAGATAAAAAAGTTAAACATCAAAATCAAAACAATATTATAATATTAAAAATATCTAAAATGAGAAAAGATCCAAAACAGTTAAAAATGTTATCAAATTTTAAACGACTTAAAAAGGTTTAAAATGTTTAAGATAATAAAATATTAAGTTCGAAAACAGGTACAAATAATAAAAAACAAAAATAGTTAAAATGTAACAATACTGATAGAAATGAAAAATAATTTAAAATTTAAAAAATGGTTAAAACGAAAAAAGATCTAAAAACAGTTGGTGTTCAAATCGAAAAGTGATATTCGTGTCGAATTTCAAATCGAATATTTGAACTATTTGAATAATTTAAATAGTTCGAATAGTTCGGATTATTCAAATAGTTCAAATATTCGATTTGATTCGTCTCAAATAATTCGTTAATTTGAATATTGACACACCCCTAGTTAAAAGATATTGAAATCAATTTAAAATGTTAAAAGACCAAAAAAGTTCAAATCGATTCAAGTTTAAAACAATTAAATAATGTAAGATATAAAAGTTCAAAATATCTGAAATAATAAAAGATCTAAAGTTAAAAATGTTATGGCTAGAAACAAAATTGGAAACGACTTAAAAATGTTTAAAATGTTTAAGATAATAAAAAAAATTTAAATTTCGAAAACAGGTAAAAATAATAAAAAGCAAAAACAGTTAAAATGTTAGATATGAAAAATAGTTTAAAATTTTAAAAGATCAAAATAGTTAAATATGTAAACGGTAAAAGATCTATAAACAGTTTAATATGTAAAATTTAATTTTCTTATCATGGATCTAAAATGTTGGTGTTAAAAGTAGAATGGCGAATAGTGTTCGTATCGAATTTCAAGTTTCAAACAGTTAAATAATATCAGATAAAAAAGTTAAAGATCGAAAAACTAAACAATAATATAAATATAATATAATAATATTTATAACATTTTTAACTAATTTAGATATTTTTAATATTATAACATTGTTTATAACATATTGTGTATAATTAATAAAGTTATAAATATAACAAATAACAAAATTTTAAAATATTGAAATCAGTTAAAATATTAATAAAGATTAAAAACAAAAAAGAGCTAAAACAATTAAAAATACTTCATTTCAAAAGCAATTTGTAAATTAAAATATCAAAACAGTTTAAAATGTTAAAAGATTAAAAACTGTAAAATGTTAAAAAATCTAAAACGGTTTAAATATTCGAATTTTAAAACCAATTATATATGTTAAAAGATCACATAGGTCGTTAAAGTGTTAAAAAAATTTAAAAATAATTATAATTTGTGATTTTTTATTTACCAATAGTAGGTTTTCCCATGACATCCAGCGGATTGGCAGTCTAGCTTTCGTATCACTAATGTAGTAGTCCTGATCATATTGGTTGCAGTACATTGCATGGTCTGACACTTTTACGGTAAAGCTTTTATCTATTACACAATTTCTGTAAAATAATAAAAATTATTAGTATATTACATTGGAAGTCCTGAAAATAGGATTTTGTTTAATTGGTTGTATAAATTAATCAAAAATTTGTGGATAAATGCAAAGGTAAATAAAACGAAAAACTTGAATTTTGAATTCAAAATATGATTTCGTAGAATCGGTTTAATGTTAAGGTTAGTTCATGCAGGAGTTTATGGAACGAACACGAACGAAATCATGAATCGAGATCAAAGGCACCATTCAACGGGGCGTAATATAAAATAACTTTATGTACCATTTTTGATTTTAATTACCGCTCGAAGCCACGTCGGAAATCTCATTAATAATGCACTAATATCGGGCGAAATTTTCGTTTCACAGTTCAAGAGTTTTTATTGTATTTATTTAGGGACAAATACCGTACGTTCGCTGCTCCCGAGCAATTAATTTTACAGACTAATGACTAGGATTTATTTATGAAATGGCACAATACGAGAGGTGTTATAATAGTTTGTGCTATAAAGTCACCATCTTATTTTATGGTTTCTTGTACCATTTATCTATACACAGATAAGGGTGAATATATTGAGATGTCCCCCAAGTAAAAATGATTATTTTTTTTTGGTTGTTTCACTGTTAGTCTAGAATGGGGTTTTTGGGAAGCCATCAGGTCTAGTAATACCGTAACATAAAAATCATACATTTTGAATATTAGAGCTTCACGGAAGATAGCTTCACGGAGGTTAGGTTTTCTCATGTTTTTTTAAAAACATCCCTTTGTATATTTGAAATAATTTATTGTATCTTTTGACACCTTAATATTTTTAAAAAATAAAAATGTACATACATAAAATATTTCTATTTACTGAGATATTACAGTTCACGGTGGATAGATTTTTAAATAGCAAATTAATGAACTTAAACTTTTGAATTTTAAAATAGCAACACAGCAAACAATTTAAAGCAAAAACAGATTAACGGAGAATAGAATCAATTTTTGTAACACCTTCATAAATGGTTATAAAAATTATTATTTTTAATTTTTAATAAAATTTTATATTTGATTCGATTGCTTTGGATGTGTTTAATTTACTTAGTGAACTGATATTTTTAGTATGCTTTTACTACCTTAGATATTTGAAAAGATATAGGTTAACCTAGAAAGAGTAAGTCACGGAGGATAGGTTTTAGACTTTTAAAACATTGTAAAAAATAATTAATTGCGGTTAAAAATCTGGAACCTGAGCTGTAATATCTACTTAATTATAAAAGATCAAAACACAATAAAAGTGTAGGTCAAACTCATTTAGTTTTATTAAATATCGGGGTAACACCATCCTTAGGCCAACTCTTGATAGTTAATTCTAAATGACCTAATTAAAATATTGTTTTGGTAGATTTTTTTAAACAAATAATGCTTAATGCTATTGTACCACCCATCGTATGTCAAGCTCAACAATTTTGCTCGTGAAATTTACACATTTCATCGGCTGTCGATCGAATATTTATTTAATTATTTAAATAAATAATTAACCTGAACCCAGTCACATATTCACTGTGCAAACAAAAAGTCGCAATTTATGTGAGCGAAATTAAAGAGCATTTTGTGGAAAGCATAATTTTAATCATTTTTAATTTATTCATTAATTGCGTTTTAATTTTAAAGGTAATTGTTTAAAAACCGGGCGAAATATATTAAAAGGGTTCATCGCTTTTAGTTTAATTCATTGGCTTTCACCCAATAAACGTTTATTTAAAATGTTAAATTTTTACACATGTATAAATTATTTTTATTTTGTATATTTTGTATAAATATTTATGCATCGTTGTGTTTTATTAAATTTATGTTTATAAAATTAATTATGACTGATTTTTTTACTTACCTAGCAGCTAAGTCTCTATGCACCAAGTCTAAAGATTCTAAGTATTTCATTCCAGATGCTACTTGTGTTGCTACGTATATTAGACATCCATAACTAAAACAAATAAATACAAACATTTTAAAGATGCCTTTCTTATTGTTGTCAAAAATGGCGAATGCGCCGGGATCAATATAAATTGTATCAAGTTTGATAAACGCCATTTTAGTATTAATTTGGCACGAGCGAGTGAGGGTTTAATAAAAATGTGTATCTAAAAAAGTTTATAAAACAAGTTGCATACATAATGTCACAGCTTGTTAATGGGGGAGAAAATAAATGCCATTTTAAAAGACTTGTTATTATGCAACTTGTATCTAATTTAACCGACCTATACAAGGTCAGTTAAATTAGATAAAAGTGGCTCTTTAAATAAAAGATATACTCAAACATTGGATTTTTGGTGCACCTTGTATATTAGGGTGGGGTGGTCCTTATTTGGTGCAATTTGGAACTGTTATGCCCCTAGGGACTTTAACGCTTTCAAATCGATAAAAAAATACCTGAAAATTTGAGCTTATTATTTCAAAATTTTCTTATGGAAAATTTCCATTGGAAATATAAGTTGTTGACGAATATACCAACAGTAATGAAAAATACAAATTTTTGTAGAGAATTAAAAGCGTTAAAAAGCTTTGATGCATAAAATTCGTAAATAAAAGAGTTCAAATGTTAATTTAATTAACATTTGAACGCTTTCATTTAATTAACTTAATTAACATTCAAAGTTTAATTTATATAAAATTATCATTGTCAACTTGACAGTGTCATGTATAGGTACAAAATAACAACCGTGTTATAATAGTATATTATAATACAAGTGTATGGGAAAGACTTTATCGCACTAGTGAAAAAATTACAAGCCCGAGCATTTTAATAGTATATTATGTATCAAGTTTAAAAAACGCCATTTTATACACGAATTTAATTTAATTTTTAAATTATTGAGTGTATAGAAAAGTTTATAAACGAGGTGCATACTATACTTTTTCTACGACAAATAGTTATTAGTATCTTAAAACGATTTAAATAAAAAAATTGTATAGAGCACAATCTATGAAACAATAGGGGAATCTGTGTGTCACCGTCAAATGTCACATTATTATTAGATTATTAGGTTATAAATCGAAATGTAATTCTTGAAAATTGACAAATTTTCACAGCGAAAGTAAAGAAAATGTTTTATGAGGACTTTACAGTGGAGTCCGTGCCCGAATTTAAGTTATAGTTTACTGCCGGCGAAATTAAAAGGTCAGTACAATGTTCATATGAACTTTTCAAATATTGGCGTTGAGAAACTATTTAATACTTTTGTATTTTTGTATTGAGATAATAAAATAATTTTCACATTTAGTATTATTTTACAAGAAAGGCACTTTATTTTAACGATTGTATGACATTTGACAACTGTCAACTAACTTAAAGCTAACTTCAGCCCGTGACTAAAATCCTGTTGCTTACTTCAGTCCGTGACTAAAGGGCCATAAAGCCACAACTTTTCAATGTGTATTTAAAAGGTCACTTAGTGTCATGGAAACATGTACGATAAACGGCGTTTTAAAGGTGGGAGAAGAAAAAAAGTTTTATAATATTGTACATTTTGAATTTCCAAAACTTAATTATTTTTGCGATTTTTTTTAATAAAACGTTTTAAAACATCGCACTGTGGCCCCACAAGCTGGCCAATAGTGAAAATATGACCGAAAATTCTTGAAAATCGGTAGTAGGTTTTTGGGGTCAAGGAATCGGAATTTTAAGTAAAAATTTACAAAATAAAAATAACTGTCTTAAAATTATTGCTTGTAGGTTTTGTGGAAAATATTTACATGGAAATTTTTAAAAACAAAATGGCCGACTCAAAATGGCTGACCGCATCAGTCTAAATAGACAATGTTTTTAAATCAATTAGATGTCCTCTTGATTTGATTTTTGTAGTAACTTTTTTATGAAATCATTATGTATAATAATATGAGAGAAGAGATAAAAAATAAGGGGTCATTTTAACATAAAAACCAATCAAAAAACCGCGCCTCGCCACTTATCAAAACCAATTAAAATAATCAAATAAATAAAAATAAAAAGTCAACAAAAGTAGTCAGTATGTCAGTCCCCGGGTATCAGAATATCTCCATTCCAAATTTTATCACTTCAGGGTGTTATGTAATTAATGTTATATATTAAAATGGGTTGTTCCTTAGGGTCCATAAAGAAGCACCTGAAACTTTTTTTTTCTAAATTCCAAAGTCTAAAAATAATTTATAATAACCTTTATCCTACCAAAAAGTACGCCACTGATCGACTAGGAGCTTTAGGTTAATCTGGTGGATTTATTATGTTATGGTTGGTAACAACAGTATATTTGTTATATGCAACAGTGTTTCCAAAATCTCTCAAAAAAGTTGACAAACATTGTTTAAATTTAGCTTAATTAGAAAAATGAAAAATTAACAATGCAAATTGTCAATTTGGCGTTTTTATTAATTGTTGGTTATTTCATTTTTGTACTTCAAACAAAATCTGCCAACTTTTATGACAGAATCTAGTGCATTTCTTTTAAAATTTAGGTTATGTTTTCAAATTGTAAATATCTTAACTAAGGGAAGTGCTTTTGGATTTATTTACACAAATTAAATGTTTAAAGTTTAACCTGTGAACTGGTCCCAATTTCATCTGAGTAAACAGAGAAAAAAACTGATGAAAAAATTAATTTTGTGGTTATGGATTTCAAATTTCAAAGGTACTAAATTTCCTAATCGTTGCTTAAGCTAATAGCTGGATCAGTAAATAAATACAGAAGGGTATTAGAGCTTTAAGGGCATAAAACTTTTGTATTTATTGAGTTTTTATTTATTTTTTGCAAGAAAAATTTTTAGTAACAATTTTTTACATCTGGCAACGCATAGCTACTTTGTTGGTTGGTATCTATGTACTCGCAAAATACAGGTGTGCAGAGATAAACAAGTGTGTAACCAGTGGCGTATCACAAAAAATATAAAAAACTTCTAATGCATATTTTTTCTTTATCTTTGGAAAAATGTTTTTTTAAATATTTTTCCTTTATTCCTTATGTCAAAAGGTATTCAGTATTTTAATATATAACATTAATTACATAACACCCTGTATGTACATATGTATGGATGGATTATTTGTGAGATTTTTATAGTTAAATAGGTTTTTTGATTTGTTTACGTTTCTGAAAATTAATTTTTTCAACCATTTTATACCGGGTGTCCTAAAAATTGCTATCTAAGTTAGTTAAGTTTGTGTTCACAGCTAAAAAAATGTTTTTATCTACTCCTATTACATAATATTGTTTTTTTGTAAATAATGATAAACATTATAAATTACCGGCCTAACAACGGAAATAATGAACTCATTATTCACGTTGTTAGGCATTAGTGATTGGCCGAATATTCACTGTGACTTGAATCAATCGGGTTTTAAATTGGGGGAAGGCGACTATACGAATCGTAATAACATTTAAAATTGGTAAAAAGTGAGGTTAACCATTTGACAGATGCCAAATTTTATTTATTTATTATTGAAAATAATTTAACTATCTACTGATTGGAGTACTCTCTAAAAATGAATTAGTCAAAAATGACTAATTTAATAGTTATTCTTATGTAAAATTGTCCCCTGAATCCGAAAATACCGTCAAAAATTATGAAAGTGGAGCAGTTTACTTTTTAACTTTTGACGACATTTTCGGATTTAGGGGACAATTTTACATAAGAATTAGCTGTTAAATTTTGGAATACCATGGTTAACCATGGTACAAGTGAAAAAGCAGCCACTAATAACTATTAAATTATTTATTTTTAGAGAGTAGATAAAGTATAGTAATATAAATTAAGTCTCTACTTGAGACGCAAACCTCATCCTTGTATATTAATATTCTTTTTTAAAGCGTAGTATAAGAAAGTTGAATTAGGTAGTAATCTTAGATGACGACAAAATCCACTCCCGACAAAAAAATCCCTGCCAAACACTGCAATTCATGTAAACCTTGGAATTTAAATTTTTAAATTTTTTATTTACATTTATTTTTGTTTAAATGGGCCTAAATTAAGATTTTATGTTTATATCAAATTGTCTACGCTCAACGACTTTCTCAGCACCGCCTAAATGAATTTTCGATACTTTTGTTTTGTACGCGCAAAAAAAAATTCAAATAAAGAATGTTAATATCTATAGTATTAAATTTAAATATATCCCCATTAATATATGTTTAATACAAAAAAGGCACAGTACATAGGCCAATTTTTTGTGTTGATTGATATTGTTTTGTGTAGATTTCCATATTTCATTTTATTTTCAATTTGAACAAAAACCTAATAATTTTTAAACATTATTAAAGACATGAATTCAATTTCGAAAATATTTTATATTGAAAACAAGAACTTTTATTAAAACTATTTTTGGTATTACAGCTACACAGTTATTTATTTAAAATGGGATTTCCATGTATCAATCAGTTATCAAAAATTAATAAAATAAAAAAATATGAAAATGTAAAATATTTATAAAATTAAAACATTAAAAATTATACTATAACTTCGACACAATCTATACCGCAAGCGTGTAAAGCCGGTCTAGGACACATTACCACCTTCTATTTAGTTTCAGGCCATTATACATTCGGCCCCGAATTGAAGATGAAGCAATTTGCAAGCGAAACTTATTCTTGCGGTCGACGATACGCGTGCACGTAATTTGCTCTGATTTATCGAACAAGCGAAAGGGTCCATTTAATATTTAAGCGCTTTCCCTCTGAATTATGCAGAGTTGTATTTTGGACCGTTTCGAATTGTATTTCGCCGAAACGAGGATTATGGGATCACGTTAGGTAATTTCCGCCCAGATATGTTTAATGTTGCTGGCAAGAAGTGAAACATGAACTGTGTAGTGCGACGCAATGTTCAAACTTAGGAAATTGGAAGGACATTTTATTATTTCATATCAGTTTTTAACATTAAACACTATTTAAGGATGCAGTTATCTTGTTAGTAGTAATGGGTTTTGTTTTACATATAAATAGAACTTTCTGGAAGGTT